TTTTTGAATTTAGAATATCATTAAGATTGCATTCAAGGGAACCAGCAGTTAGCATAATGGCTATGTCGCTGGACTCCCACGTAGTCGACCGCGGTTCATGTCCCGGACCCGGTGGCTTAAAACTCACGCCGGGCGCGTGTGCGTGCGTGCCCAAGATCCCGAGAGGAGAATGGAGGAGAAGGGATTGCGGCGTGACCATCCCCCCTGGGGGGTGATTTCTTGCTTTCTGTCTCTCTGTCTCTCTCTGTCTGTCTGGCGAGCGCACGCGCCCTACAGTGAAAATCTCTCAAAAAAAAAAAAAGATTGCATTCAAAAAACATAAAGGAAAAAGCTCCACTTTTAGACAAGCATATAGAAAAGAAGCAGAAAATCTTTCCACAAGTAGAGTCCCATATCACAATAGAAAAACCTAATTAAGAGCTTTAATTTAGTATGTACAGTTTTTAAAGGTTTTTGCCAAAAGGTGCATATACTCACTGGAGAAAGAGACAGTAAGAGGGAAAGTAAGAAATTACTCCTGGGCGGGAAGGCCAGGCTGCAATTCCTCCTCTGCCATTCTCCTGGGATTTGGGGCATGCATGCACACACAATCTGTGTGACTCTTCAAGCCACCAAGTCTGGGACTTGAACTGAGATCAACCACATGAGAGTCCAGCATCTTGACCACTCTGCTACCTGCTGCCCCCAGTATGAATATTTTTACTTCACTAAGAATTCAGATACTTTATATGAACACAGGATCAGTTTTACAATTATTTTCAAGACTTCCCTAACCTTTAACTAGGTAAACTCTTAAAACTTAAAAGAAAACTGCAAAATAAAAATCTGCAAATATTTCTGAGGTGACCAAAGAATCAATAATAAGTCATTTAAATTTTACTTTAACGGCTCTGTTTCCATAGTACATAACTACTAAACAAATTTAGTACCTATGAAGGGCCTTCAATAAGTTCATGGCATATGAGTGTTAAAAAAAGCTATGCATGGGACCAGCAGGTGGTGTGGTGGTAAAAGGTGCTGGACTCCCACATGGCTGACCACAGTTTGAGTCCCGGACTTGGTGACTTGCTTTCTCACTCCCTCTCTGTCTTTGTCTCTCACTGGTCAAATTGAAAATAATAATAATGATGATGATAAAAAATAAATTAATGTAATAATTCCTTAAAAAAAAAACTATGCATGGATTTCAAAATCCCTTGCACTCAAATAAACTCATTCCATTTTCCATGAAGTTTTTAAAGTCCTTTCATAAAAATATAACTCCTAACATAGCTATACATTTATTCCTTCCTTCTTTATAACCATTTAGCACCTATCTTATTTTCCTACTTCCAAATGTTTTATTTGTTTGTTTATCTTTTATAGGTATAGTAAAGAAGGGAGTTTATTAAGAGAAGGAAGAAAAAACAGAGCTCCCAAAAAGAGAGGTATTCCAAGTTTTTAGTGTCCTTGCCAAGTTTCCATGAGGGCATTCCCTTAAAGTTTATTATCTATCTATCAATACTTACAACTATCTACTCAAGACAATTCAAAGGTGATATACTTTACTGTATTTTGACATTCTTTTAAAATTCTTCTTCTGAATAAATTTCACAAGCGATCACTTACATTTGCATTACAGCTGCTAACATTAAAAAAAGTCTTATTCTTCAAAAGAAAGGTTATTCATTTATGTACATCTTTTTATTTGTACATATTGATGACCTCAGCTGCCCCAAACTAGGTCTCAAGAGGTGGATTTCTTGGAAACTTAGACTTTGGGAGCTGGAAAGGACATTAGAAATCACCTACTCCAACCCCTTCATTTTATGGATGAGGATACTGAGCCCAGAAAAGATAGCTGAGTGACTCTGGGCACGTTTCCTACCATGCGGCAGAGCCAGAACCAGAAGCCAGGTCTCCTGACACCCTCTTAGGAGCCAGGTCTCCTGACTCTTAATCCAGGGATCTTTCCATTACACACACTAACTCTATTCTCTGAGCTGTCTTGGGCTGTGCACGCTGATCAAGCTGCCGTGTAAATGATCACATTCACAAAATAAAATGCCTTTTCTGACAAGTCATGGGGCATTGGAGCATGCCCATATCATCAGGCTATCCTCTAATTCACCACATGCTTCCTGTGACTAGAGCTTCTCAATGGGCCCTCATTGATCACAGCGTAAATTATAAGCTCCTTAATATGGTCTTCAAAGAAATGTATGACCCAGCCTGAACACGTTTCATGAAATTCTCTGTGTCTTATAGTGCTGTGGACACTAGCCTTTGCTCAGTTCTTCCGGTGAAACTTCCTACCTCAGCACGCAGCCTTCCCTTCCACAGAGACTCATCCCTGCTTTGTCTGGCCAATGATTATTGGATTCTCAGATTAAATATAAATCCCCTTAAAGTAAATTTCCCAACCCCTCTGACTGTCTACTCTTTTAAAAATTTCTTTCTTTTCTGATGAGTAAATGAGAGCGATAGACAGACAACAGTACCCTGACGGAATTTTCACACTATAATCCCCCGTACCTCAGGCAGTCCTGAATCACAGACATACACATGTCCAGTGTGCACACAGACGTCTCCAGAACCTTTCCTTGTGTCATGTTTTATTGCTGCATTTCAATCAGCCCCCATATGCCTTGTGGTCATTGTTTTTTTGGTTTTTTTTTTTTTCTTTTTGAGACTGAGTTTCACTTTGTTGCCCAGGCTGGCCTCAAACTCACAATACTCCTGCCTTAGCTTTACGAGTAGCTGGGATTTACAGGCATGCGCCTGGCACCTACTGACTACTCTACCTTTCAGGACACAGCATACTATGTCTGAAACACTGTAATCACAATCGTTATTTTTATTGATTACTATACCTTAGCTCTTGTTCTGAAAGTGACCCTCTCATTCATACATCCAACTACCCTGCGAAGTTCATTATTAGTATTGTATTTTACAGATTATAAAACTAAGGCACAGTGCAATCAGACACTTGTGCCATCTCACATAATAAGTGATCAAACTGAGATTTAAATTGAAACATTCTTATTCTAGATTCCAGTTTTTCAGAAACCAATACCTTATACTACTTCATAATATCAATGAAATGAATAAATGTATGCATAAAATTGCATTAATGGTTCACCAAACTATACAAATGGAATAATAACTTATCTAGTATGGACTACATGCCAGGCACTGTTTTGAGTCCTATACATATTTCCATCATTTATTCCCATAACACCCCTACAAAGTAGACACTGCTATTATTGCCACTGTGTGAACAAGGAAAACAAGGCACACAGAGGTTGAAGAGCTTGCCCAAGACCACATTGCTAGCAATTGCAGAGCTGGGATTCATGCACAAGCAGCCTGTTTTCAGAGCCAGGGTTCTCAACTTCTATTCTATGAGCCATGCCTGTGACAGCCCCTATCTGAAAACAGGAAGCTCAAAGTTAATAATAAACTATTGTCATAATGATCATTAGTGAACTCTGAAAAGACAGAAGAAAGATAAGAATCTGTTTATGCTAAAATAACTCCATCTGCTTCATGGAGCTAAAAACTCTTGGCCTCATGCCAGGTCCACCTAAAACAAATCCGTTCACATTTGTAGGGTATCCCTGAATGAGAAGATCCTGTGGATGATGCTTGTCTGTCTCTCACTCCTGTTCCTTTTCTCTCCCTCTCTTTTTTTCTCTCTCCCTCCCTCTCGTGAAAGAAACAAAGCAGCTTTTTTTTTTAGAAAAGCTCTTTCTTTGCATGGTTGAATTACTAAAAGGTGATGTCCCCTTCCTTCTTATGAATCCAGTTCCATAGTAGGACGAAGGATCTTGCTGGGAGTGTCTTCTGCATTTCTGACCTCATTACCTTTTGGTTGATCACCCTTGTGAAGGGTACAACTTACATACCCATATTTGGTAGCCCTGGTTAGACTACAAAGCAAAGAGTTGCCAAAATAAATGTACAACAGTCAAGAAAAAAGAAAACTTCTAACCTGGGGATAAAACTGAAAAATAAATAAATGCTCAAGTGGTGCAAAAATCCAGTCACGGTGAGCAAAGAAAACCTTGCCCAGACCTTGCAAAACCTTGCTAAAATTGCAAACCAATAGTCCAGTTTCATCAACTGGACCATAAGGATAACAACATTTAGCTTGAAGAGTTTGTTATAAAAAAAATAATAAAACAGTGCTAGTAAAATCTCTTCTGCCAACGATAAAGCACCATACAACAAACAATTCTCTGTGTACTCACTAGTCAAGTCTTCTATCTGACAAATTAAAGATCCTTTCCTTGGGTCTTAAATCATTTTTATTCTCTATGAACAATTCTTAGTGGAAGCAATGTTGCTATATATGAAGATCCTTTAAATGTACGAACCCATTTTGCACATGGTTGAAATTTTTTCCGGTGCGTATGTCAGCATAATACAAACAGAAGAACAGGCAGTGTTAGCATGAGGTAGCATGTTTCTCAAGAACAATAGTTTTAGACTGGTCCATCACAGAAGTGAATAGAAAAATGTTTTTAGTTCAAGGTTGGATGACTCTAGTCAGCTCATTTAGACAAAGGAGAGATGTTTTCGTTCGTGAGTTTGAGGATTCAGCAGTTTTAGAAGGTATGCTCTAAAAGGAGGGCAAAGCAATTGAGCTTTAGAAGCCAGATTTCAGAGCTTAAGGTTATCAGCTTGCACACAATATCAAAAAGAACAGGTGAAATCGTTCGGTGGCATCAAAGCATTCAAAAATAAATCAGAGCAGCAGATGGGTGAAATAAGCCATTTGACCACAGAGCTCGACATTTCAAAGCATGATACTGGAATGACCAAGCACAGTGCATGTGAGAAACATGGGGGAACTTATTTAAATGTTCCACATGCTTCAGGTTTCCCAGATGCAAAATCCAAATAATGAAAGTCTTTCTTTCCAAGGTGCTATCACGTGCTTAGGTGAAGGACACTACAGGAGGAATAGAAACAAAAGCTGTTATCTTTACTCACAAAAAGATATCTTATAACCTTACCTAATAGATTGGTTAACCACAAGGCCAGATCTTCTTTCATCGGTAGCAAATTAGCTTCATGTCTGCTGGCCAGCCATTGGCTATACTGATGCATATCAGAGAGGCCAGGTCCACTGCGTACCTTGGGGCTCAGAGCAGTGCACATTATTTATCCACTCGTAACACCTGTTTCAGAAACAAAAGAGCAATTGCTTTTTATACAGACTTCTCCTGTTAAAATCTGGCTTCTATGACACAGTAAAGAATAATATCCAGGGGCTTTATGGCGACAGGTCATGTCATTAATTATTAAACCCCACGAAGACTATTTGCTTTATCTGCACTGATCCTCTTACTTTTGGCCAACCACTTGGTAAGAAATAGCAGCAGCCAAAGGTCAAAAAGAAGACCAAACAACAAGCTCCAGGCTTGTAACACAACATATTCGGAAAGAGCTTCTAAAGCAAGAAATTCTACTCATTCGAACACAATGCGAAGTAATTGAAGTCAAATTTTTGTACCCAATTTGTTTGGGTTAATTTTTGAAAATAGATTTCTATAGAATTCTAGGACTGGATGCCAGCAATGACAGTATTTGGATAATTTATGGTAAACACATGAACATTACTCTTAAGACTTCCATCTAAAAGATTAAGTGTAGCTGTTGGTTCTTTGGGTATGGCCAAGTAGTCAAAAGCACACAATTTAGAGAACTGGGCAGGGCACAGGAGAGGAGGTACATTCAGGGTCTCAACTGTATGTCTCAGTTACAAGAAAACAAAACCAGAGAGGATAAGTGACATAACTGGCATCAGACTTCATTTAGGGCAGGGTTAGGCTTAACCCTGGCTCTTTATATTTCAAGACCACTGCTTTCCCCATAATCATACATTTTCACAAACCAAAGTAATTGAGAACCCGTATTAATAGCCCAAGAATTGTAGCCTAATCCTAACAAATACTACCACAGGTATTAACTGTCCCTTTACCATCTTTTTTGCTTTTTATCTTGCCATTTTATTTTTTGCACACTGGCTTTTGTTTGCATGGTCTTTAGAGTAGACGAACTATTTAGATATCTTACATCTATAAAACAAGAGGCGATTTTATTAGCTTTATCACTGTATGAGCATAAGCCCTCGTTGGGGTTGTAGAAAAATTGTTAAAATATATAACGGGCCTGAATGTAACATGTTTGTATTACGTTCATGATCTAAGACTACAGAATTAACACTGAAGCAGCTAAAATAACAGTCATCATGTTTAACACCTTCTCGGATTCCACTCAGTATACAAATATGCCTATGGAATAACTGAATGCATTATGACTAAATGACAACAAAATATTTGCAATACGTAAGAAGTTCATGGGCTTTTCAGCTATATTTCAATAATTATGGTATTTGAAAGTTATCAATATAAGCTATATACACTACTTGGGGTTTTCTCCTTTATAACTTTGCATGGTATTCTGGTATTCTCTCCCAGTTAATCTCAAACTCTAACTCAATTCACATATGTTAATTTCTTTTAAAGACTGCTTCTAAAAAATAATAATAAAACATTTATGTTCAGAAAAATGCATAATGTGACTATCTCCCAAATATTTTGCTGTATTGTAAAAAAAGACTGCTGGGAGTGTGAGTAAACATTCGAGAAAAAGTGTTACATAAGTACACTTGTTTAAAGGCACAATTAAAAAACAAACACACACACAATTTCATTTCTATTGTAATCACTCTCTTGAATAGTATTTTTAAAAATTACAATAAATGTATTAAAAAATCTTATACACCTAGATATTTAGAGCGAACAAACCAGTGCAGATGTGAACTCTTTATAACACACCTTATAATAGAACATAAATTGTCATTATAGGAATCAGAATATCACCATTGTTTGTTCTTTTGCAGTTAATAATGACATGACTCATGAGACATCTTAAATCTTTCTCCAAATCCTGTGATTAAACACCAAAAGCATAAAACTTTTTTTTTAACCCCAGTCATTTTTTAAAAATCTGTTCATACCTGGGGAAAAGAAAAAAACATTCCCTCTAGCTGGTTAAAATTCTTATAGCCCAGCTAGCCTCAGAAACAAACACTTAAGTAATAATACATTTAAGCACATGATTCATACATTTAAAAAACTAATTGAAATCTTTAAAGGGTTACCTCTAATGTGTCTTTCTTCTCAAGACACAATCTCTCCCACTACTTTCCTGAAAGTGAGATGTGGTAGGTCAGTAACTTTACCTACACCCTATTATGTGCTCTGCAACTTTCATTTGAGCATCAGGGTCCTATTTTGTGCTATGATAGCAAGAAGACACCTCAGATTCTTAAGCTCATTGTCCAGCAAAGAATTCATCAAGGGATAGTTTACAGTAAGCCCAATGGCATGTAACAATTTCAATGAGCCAAAGGGATACAATCCTTCCCCTCAATACTTCTAAACAGTGTCGTTTTTATTTTCCTTGACAGTGGCACATTTATTTCTCATGTAATCTGTCCTGTGTCTTGCCAGAAATGTAATTCAAACTATCTTCTAATTACAGATGTTCATTAAGTAAAAGCAATAATAAAAACGAAACAATGTTAATTGTGTTACTTGATATATACCTTAAATTTTAGTGGGCAGAAGAAGCAAGAATAGTTACTTTTTCTTAGGAGGAAAAACTCAGTGAAAGGAGGCTTAGTGGGTAATTACAATTCCAGAAATTTCAGATTGACAGAAACCTGAAGTCGCTGTCATAGATAGGGATTCTTCTGTTTAAATCTTCTTCCCTTCGGACAAGAAGTAGGACTGTCAATTCAATATATCCTGATCCTTTTTTCATATTCCAGTTCACCAAATGGAGCAGGACTTGCTGGTTTAGATGAAAGTCACTCCATGGAAAGCCTAGATTTAAACTTGGTTGAGACATGAACAGGAAACAGGGAAATGGACCCAGCTAGTATGATCGATTTGGAGTTTACGGAAAGTTACCCCATGGCAAAAGTAGTTTCCAATGGAAATGATTTTGTTGTGGTAAACAAAGGTTAAATTTTATATTACCCAGATAAAAAGATCACTATAGGATTGTACCCCTTTTATAATTTTTAACAATTGTTTACTCAATCTATTGATAGGTAAGTTGAATTAGATCAGATCGCAGAGCTCAAACTATCACAAAAAGATCATTTCAGTTCTTTTGAATGCATTCAAAAGTTTTGAAACCACAGGTGATGCCAAGGAGTAACTTTTAAAGAAGAGAAGTGGAAGGCCGGTACTGGGAGAGGGTGAGAGGGAGGGAATCAAGGGGAAAAGGAAAGAAGCAAAACACTTAAGGGACACAAAAATGGAAAACTATCTGTTGACAATAATACATCCTATTTTGTGCTATGATAGCAAGAAGACACCTCAGATTCTTAAGCTCATTGTCCAGCAAAGAATTCATCAAGGGATAGTTTACAGTAAGCCCAATGGCATGTAACAATTTCAATGAGCCAAAGGGATACAATCCTTCCCCTCAATACTTCTAAACAGTGTCGTTTTTATTTTCCTTGACAGTGGCACATTTATTTCTCATGTAATCTGTCCTGTGTCTTGCCAGAAATGTAATTCAAACTATCTTCTAATTACAGATGTTCATTAAGTAAAAGCAATAATAAAAACGAAACAATGTTAATTGTGTTACTTGATATATACCTTAAATTTTAGTGGGCAGAAGAAGCAAGAATAGTTACTTTTTCTTAGGAGGAAAAACTCAGTGAAAGGAGGCTTAGTGGGTAATTACAATTCCAGAAATTTCAGATTGACAGAAACCTGAAGTCGCTGTCATAGATAGGGATTCTTCTGTTTAAATCTTCTTCCCTTCGGACAAGAAGTAGGACTGTCAATTCAATATATCCTGATCCTTTTTTCATATTCCAGTTCACCAAATGGAGCAGGACTTGCTGGTTTAGATGAAAGTCACTCCATGGAAAGCCTAGATTTAAACTTGGTTGAGACATGAACAGGAAACAGGGAAATGGACCCAGCTAGTATGATCGATTTGGAGTTTACGGAAAGTTACCCCATGGCAAAAGTAGTTTCCAATGGAAATGATTTTGTTGTGGTAAACAAAGGTTAAATTTTATATTACCCAGATAAAAAGATCACTATAGGATTGTACCCCTTTTATAATTTTTAACAATTGTTTACTCAATCTATTGATAGGTAAGTTGAATTAGATCAGATCGCAGAGCTCAAACTATCACAAAAAGATCATTTCAGTTCTTTTGAATGCATTCAAAAGTTTTGAAACCACAGGTGATGCCAAGGAGTAACTTTTAAAGAAGAGAAGTGGAAGGCCGGTACTGGGAGAGGGTGAGAGGGAGGGAATCAAGGGGAAAAGGAAAGAAGCAAAACACTTAAGGGACACAAAAATGGAAAACTATCTGTTGACAATAATACATATGGTAATATCTTTGACCCAATATACAGTGTGCTTGGAATGGGAAAATTAAATTGGTATACACAGTGACTGAATGTAAAAATAAATAAATAAATAACATGTAAAAGATGGGAAGTGTAATGATTAATGAGACAAGAAACATGAAGAAAGAAGTTGTTAGGGAGAAAGAAAAAAGAAAGAAAAAAATACTGTATAATCTATATAAACACTGACAGAGGTTTCCAATAAGATGTATATAATTGAATATTTTAAAAATTTGATCAGTAATTTCAGTTATTAAATAAAACCAATCACTCTGAAAAAAGTGAATAAGGATTCAATGACTTCTATGACTCTTCTAAACAATGGCTCTTCCATGCTTTCTGGGTCTTTTTAAAAGTGGATAACTCAGACCTCAGGACTTGGAATTCAGAAAAATAAAAGTTAAAATGAAAAACATGCAGAAACTTAATACAGAATTCTTCAAAGGCTATGTGTTTATATATATCTTTCTTTCTTTCTTTCCAGAGCAGAAGTGATTCTGGAATAACAATTACGAATATGATGAGACTTGAACTAGCCCAGGGGAAAATGAAAAAATTAATGACTCCATAAGTAAAATATCACATGTTTAAAGACTCTGTCTAGTCTGTTACTCCAGTATCCCAGCTGAAGACATAATAGTTTTGACTCTGAAGAAAAAGTATTCTATTATGCCATCTAGAGGTGTCCTTTAACTATGACTAAGATGGTTTCTGGCCTATTTCTAGACTTTATGGATGTGTTAGAGAAAACATATTACAATACTGCATAAATAATAAATTTTAAAAAAAGAAAAATAAGAAGGAAATAATAAATATT